AGCCGCAAAAAATGTGTCGCTATAAACTATAGCGCCAAAACGATTTTAACGAAACAGCTAAAGTCTTCCTCTTGAAACCCTTTTAATTTATGTCTATAATATACTTTCCCGAAAACAAGCTAAAAAAATGTTACGATGAATTCAATATTTTATTTGCCGATAACTAAAAGAGTACACAATTTTTGACTGATAATACCCGTAATTATATGAAAGATTCCTGATTTGCCGACAAAATAAAAACATGGTCATCGAGCAGATAAGCATTATCTCCGAAATAAAACTATTTCTAGCGGCCGTAGGAATAAAGTGGATTAAATTATTTTTTAAGGAAAAACAAAGTTTAAATTTGTATTTCTCACCTCCAATTTTCACGGGAATCGAAAAATAACTTTTTTTGGCTCAAATTTTCCGCAAGGGTGGGATAACAACACAAACAGTGTGATAACTTAACAATGGCTCCACCTATAATCACGAAAAAAATCACGGATTTGGGGCCACGTAAACTGCACAAATTGCAACAAACCGTACCCCTGTAAGCATAATAAAAGTGGTTAGAAGCATATTACGATGAATTCAATATTTTATTTGACGATAACTAAAAAAGTACAGAATTTTTGACTGATAATACCCACAATTATATGAAAGATTTCTGAATAGCTGACAAAAAAAAAAAAAAATCATTAGAATTACTTTTAATTGAAGTCATTTGTTTTCCAACTATTTAAAAATGACAGATGTCCTTTGCTACTAATCTACTCATATTTGCTTTCTGTTTTCTTTCTATTCCATTTTGCCAGGCTAAGCCACAGCAGGGCGTGGCCGGGTAAAGCTAGTATATTATATAATGTTCTCGTCAATTTAAAACAGAGAAAACAGAATGTTGTTTTTTTTTTCACCCCCTGAACTATACCGACTGCTGCCACACTTCCCGATATCCCACCAGCGGGTGGCGAGAGACAGTCCTGGATCAGGTACCAACCTCGAACACGCACCGCCTCTTCATCATATCACAGTCAACTACACATTTAACCTCCTGGGAGATGCCCAACTGGGACACCTCTCTGGATTCAATCGCTTCCATGTCCCGTATAATTTATACTATCAATCATCCATTATATTATTTAAACATCCCGGCGGTATTTACACAACCGTGGATAATGGCCAAATATGCTTTTTTAATGAAACACATTATTATAAATGGACATTGCACCAGATCCACGCTGCCTGTTATCTCAACGTGAACTGAGCTAAAATGGCGGCAGTCTGATTAATCAGTGTAAGGTTCATCTTGATTGAAGCAATTGTTGTTAGTCATTTGACTGTCATATATGAGTTAGTCATTATATATATATATATATATATATATTTGAGCCGTTTATTTTGAAAGTGGCCAAACTCCGTTTTTCAATTTTTTGCCAGTTACCATGGTTACATGTACAACTTATACATACTATATATCAGTAAAACATTTCAGGTTGCTTATATTCCGAGCAAATACGATAAATTTTTGACACATAAGTTTTCAGAATTAGTTCAATGACTGAACCGTGTAGTTTGAAAATGGCCTAAATCCATTTATTTTATACTTACATCAAGATATTTACTGTTGATAATGTTGGAAATGAAAATTTTATTTGATAATTTTATTGTAAATGAAATGAGACTAAAAGATTTTCAAGTCAATTTATTACTAGCCATATTTACACCAATTTAAAAAAAATTTGTTGTCACTCAATGACCACTCATCTACTAAAAGATTTTGTATCAACAAAATTATTAGAAGACGCAATTTCTAAAAGGATAAAGAATTCTAATGGAGAATCAGTAAACTGGTTACAAATAATTTGGATGCGTTCTATCAGAAATGAATTACAATACAATTTTCTATAAGACAACAATGAATGAGAAATGAAAATTTTAAAGCCCTGAATTTATTACCTCGTAGGGGTAGACCCAGAAAATTCGAAAATATTGTATTCACACCATTCTACAAAAATATAAGACAAATAACAACAACAAAATTTAAGGACATGATTGACCGATTGACATGATTGCGATATATACCACCGGAACATCATGACTACTTCAAATCCCTTTCACACGCGCAAAATGTAGATAAATAGTAAATTGTTTGTTAGTAAAATGTATGTTCTGTAATTTAAAAATGTTTTGTATCGCATAAATTGTGTTTCCGAAGTGTTTTAAAGATATATAAAATAAATTGAGTATTGTGTTTTTCAATTTGAAGCATCTTAAATTATGATATGTAATGTACGCACATTATTCTCTTAATAATTGTTACTGTTGTAATAGGAACCATAAGTTTAACGTCCTTAGATACATTTAAGCAGTATGACTCATTAGTATCCTATACGTATATTTTTAAATTCATTGAAACGCAAACCCTTAAATATCTCGATTCGAAGATAAATATTTAATAGGCCACTTTCAAAATAAACGGCTCATTATATATATATATATATATATATATATATATATATATATATATATATAAACAAAGTTCATTTTACTTACAACATTCTACACTTTCGTAATTTACATTCAAATATACTCCTGATATATGTATTCTTATTAGGTCCTGGCTTCAGGACTCCACAGTCTAATAGAGATCGATTCCTATAGGGGACCCTACAGGATCAGTCAGGATGAATGACAGTCAAATGACTGACAACAATTGCTTCAATCATGATGAACCTTACACTTATTTTAGCTCAGTTCATGTTGAGATAACATGCAGCGTGGATCTGGTGCTATGTCCATTTATAATAATGTGTTTCATTAAAAAAGCATATTTGGTCATTGTCATTATCCTTTTTAACAAAGATGGAGAACGGCGGACTCGGAGGCCGAATGGAGCCTCTGTGACGTAATTGCGGCCTCTAAACGTTTTTGTGCGATATTAATTAATCTAGTGCTAGAATTAATAAGTATTTAATTATTTATCTAACGAAAATTTGGAAATTAATAGAATTAAGTTGGGTATAATAAATATAAAAAGTAATACTATATAGTAGGGCAGCATTACTGTCAATATAGTATTTCTCTCTCTAGTTTACATATTTCATGCATTCGTGTTGATAAATTGTTATTGATTTTGACTTAATTTTTGTTCTTTAAAATATTGGATGGGCGAATCGATATTTTCCCCCTTATATGTTTTTATTGGGGATGGTCGCCCCCCTCACCTTCTCCCCTCCTGACCTCTATGCACTATGCACTATGCACTCCAAAGAGGAACGTGACGTAACGTAGATCGGCCTGCTCGCTGTTGTTTAGCAGAACAGGGATGTCGCCAATTGTGGCCATTGTCCTAACACTGTCCTAACCAGCTAATGCGTTCTCTCTCTATGGCCGCCTGCGGGGCAGTTACAGAGTGGCAAAGATCTTATATCTCGACCATTCCACTCGAGCTGCAATAGTTTGGCAAACTGTAAGATAAAAAAGTTCCGTATGCAGATAAAACAAAAAAAAAAACCTTTCATTAACTTCTAAAAAAAAAACTAAGGTGTGTGCTTTAGACCACACGATAGAGATGAAAACATCAACACGGCTAGATTAATAATATCAAATATAAATTATGAATAATAGCTTATTAAAATGAGGATGGAATGCTGAACATTTCGCTCGCTTACAGTATGCAGGTCCGATTTTTAGTTTCTGAGATATTTTAATCCATATGCAAAATTATTTCCGTTTAGTCGACTCCAGCCGACTATACCCGAGCGTAACACGTCGGAAATCTGACGGCTCAGGCTAATTCACCCTCCACAAAAAAGTACAAAATGCGCCTAAAGACGTTTTTACTTAAAAAAAAAAAATAATAACCTGGTTACAACCAATGCAAACAATGAAGGGACTTGAAGAAATAACTTTATGACGATGATATTATACAATGTTATTAATAAACATTATTGATGGATAAATAGAAAACACAAAATGTTTGACTGTCTACGGTTCAATATATTATATTGTCATTTAAATTCAAAATATCGCTACTCTTAGTTCAAAACGTCGTATGTAACAATTTTATATGTTTATTCTATTTGTGCTAAAGGTGACATTTTATCTGCAAAATATGAAATTATATCAATAAATCATAAAGAATTAATCAGTTTTCATCCTCTTCTGTAAAAAAAATCAGTATTTACACAAGACATTTTGTACTAACAGTAGCAATGGATTAAAAATGTAAATAAAATTATTATTTATACATAAATGTCAATCCTACATTTCTCTCTTTTGTACAAAAACAATTTTAGTGACTTTCATATTTTATTTTATTATTAGGATAATAGGAGATTATAGGACCTCTCTTATTAGCTCTATAATTAGCACTAATTATACAACTGTTCATTTAATTAAATATGTTTTGAGCTCCTGTAAACTCATAAAAATATACTTATTCTAAAGTTTAAAAAAATGATTCCGAAAAGATACATTTAGAAAATTACCCCTATGAAAGACTTTTACAAAAACGAGTACTACTGTAAAATAAAAAAAAAAAAAAATTTAACAATAGTTAAAACTAAGGTGTATAGTATCTTTTTATATGTATCTATTTTTACACAATCCACCGACACATGTTCTGCCCAAAGACAATTAAAAATGAACCACTGTTAAATACAATAAAAATACTGAGTCATTATAAAAATGAAAAGAATAACATAAAAATATGAATAATACAAATTGAAAAAGTAACAGAAAAAAGTACAAATTTATTGGGTTTAATCAATCACTAATCATCATTTAACCTAAACTTCATAATATTTTAGCTTAAAAAAATACATGTAAGGACTTCGAGCTCAGGATGAACTAACACGCAATAAGCCAGCTTAGTCAGATGTTAAACAAATAATATGAGAGTTAAGTAATTAATAATGACACACCTACCAACGTCATGTTTATTGAGAAATATTTTAACGTATAATCACACAGAACTCGCCCGTTAATTAACTCGCAGTAGTCATGGAGACAGCCTGCTAATAACTGAGGACTGCCTGCATGCTTTCTAGATCGGCAATGCCACCATTATCCCTCATGAGGAGGAAGAAAGTGTGACCTACAGCATGTGACAGTTGGCGGGCTGGGCGGGAGATAGCACGGGACAGCTGATAGGGGAGATCATAGGGCCCATGCGACAGCCAACGGTGTGTCAGGATTTGAACAGCTGATCTCGAAGGGTGATGAGCTCGTAAACATGTTAATGGCGAGGAAGAGGAGCTTGTTTCAAGTTCCTCCTAACATCCCGACACATTATTATTTCATAATTCAACACCTAAAATAGCCATTCATGTTTAAAATAGCAAATTAAAAAAAAAAACAATTTTTTTTTTTAAACTTTTATTATGATATTTACAACTGTATTAGTATGAATACATCAAGTAAATTTGTACAGAGAAATATTATTACATGAAACACGCTTGTTGAGAAACTACCCACTGGTAGCACTCTAAAAAAAAAAAAACATTTTAATGAATTCTCACCAGAGGCCGGTATACTAATCTCTCATTATCACGAACTCGGTTAAGGCCAAACCTCCGATAACAGGGACCAATTTCTGGATCCCGTCAAAAACAATATATTTCCTGATATACAATATTACTGAAGAAATCTGCAGTTAATAAGAATCTTAAACCATTTTAGGCAACGGTAAAGGTAAGGTTTTGGCTAAAACGATACAAGATTTATCTTCTATAGGTGGTTCAGCTTTTAACAACACTCTTAACAAGAAATATCTGTGACAGTAAAAAAATCAAAGTTCTATTATATTATATTTTAAAAAATGCAATAAATATGGGGAAATTTAATTTTAAATAATGTATCTGAAAAATTATTTGGGGTTGTGACCGTATTGAAAACAAAATAAAACATTTATTTTATTTTATACAAACGTTACGGTCAAAGTTACAAGCCGTTTTGTATTTTATTCTGACTGCAACTTCCAACTAAAAAATCTATAATTAAACATGTCTCGACAATTTTAAATAACATATTATCATCGATAGTTTCGAGCTCGATATGTTTTTAATATATATATATATATATATATATATATATATATATAAATAAACTTTTATTTCACAAAATTACATCCTTGAAGAAGAGCTGAAAAAGAGAGTTATACCACCAACATTAATCCACCAAAAAATAAAATTACGGTCAATCAAAAATGGACAAGTTGTTTTAGAAGTACCTCTAAATAGGGCTTCCTATAGAAAACTTGTCCTTTTAAGAATAGAAAAACAAAACAAATTCTGACAAAGAATTTTAACATTATAAATTTGATATATAAACTTTAAAGTTAATTACTTCTTAAATTATTTGTCAACTATATTTATTATATTTATAAGGACAACTATATTATCTACCAAAATCTAAATAAATAATTTTAATTTCTGTAAGTTTATTCAGAGCAAATATTCAGTTTGCCGCGCACACCTCTCTCGTTTGGCAAAACATGGTAAAACTTAGAGATGGTATAAAAATAAATCAGTGTTATTCTAATCTAGTATTACCCCAAATTAGTCTTGGTCTTACACTTGCACCTTGCAAGACCAAGGCCAAGACCGTCAAATTGTTGCAAGACTAAGACTAAAAGTAGTAAAAAAAAGGCGTTTTTAAGAATACAAATTAAGGCAAAATATTTCTAATGCTAAACAAGTTTAATTACTTATCATGTAAAGCATTGGTAGGACCAATTTACTTTTGCAGGTAACTCTTATAATTTTTCATTCAGAGTTTAGTTAGGTTTCCCTATTCTGAAAAATAACATTAATATCTCTATAGTATGTAACATTTTATAAAAGTTTACTAAATTTCAGTCAAAATTATTAAAAAAATCATCTAAATCGGGCCAGTTTTAGCAATGTTACAGTGTATTGAATTTTATACACTGATTTTAATAATTATTCACTTGGTATATTTCTTTAGTTTATCCAACAAATCTGACTTTAATGATTTCTCTGATCGATTAAAAGGAAAATTAGCCTAATTCAATTATGTTATTTTTAATGAAAATATTTACCATTGAAAAAAAACTTTAAAATCTGTAGGAAAATCATGTAAATGGGCACACGAGATTTTTTATTTAAATAAGTGGTGACATTGTATAGTTGGTCTTTACTCTACAACTCTTCCATTCCAAAGTGGGAGTCCATCATTAGTTTTCATTACAATACCTTTAATGCATTGTCAAGTTAATTTTATTAATTTGGTTGGACTTTAATATATTTATGTCAATGAAACATCTGAATGGACCTATTCTATAGCGTTTTTACAAATAGCAATACGCTAATAGGTAAGTGCAAGATTCTTGCATTAAGACAACACAACCCAAATCTGTTAGGGATCAAGCCAAAGTTGGTAACACAGATTAAATCCGACGTTCTATTTCGAACAGTAGAGGATCTAAGATTTAACTTTTTTGGAGAAAAGCTATTTTAAAAAAAAATATAACAGTAATGACTCTGAAATAAAAATAAAGGTACTAAATAAAATTATGTCAAGTGGTCCTTGAAGGCTTTTTAAAAAAAATAAAAAATATTAATTACACGAATAATGATGATTTTACGAATACATTTTTTATATATTATTCTTGATACGCTCTTATATGTAATATATATATATTTACGCCATAATTAAAAATATTATGTACTTTATTGTTGAAATATTATGATCAGATCTACGTTTCTAATCAAGCAGGCTTTGACCGAATGACTACTTCCTTCTCCCCTCCCCTCTCCCGTGATTGGAATAATGTTTTATTTATAATGTAATGCAGAATTTACTGCTCTTTAAATGTTGAAATAGCTTCTAGAATATTTATACATTTTGCTAGGAAGCACTGTACTGTAGTTATAAACCAATAACTACAAAATAATCCAAAAAAGTCAATTTTGATTGGGCGCCAATTAGTACTTGGGCGGATTCTACTTGTATCGTTTTCAAGGGCACAATTGTTTGAAATAGATGAATCATTGCCTTTAATGAGTCACGTTTTTCTTCACATGCTTCCGGACTATGAGTATAAAAGAATATATTTAGATACGTAAAGCTTACATAATACATTGAGATAAATACGAGTACACGAAAATTAGATAGGTATATAGTTAATATATCCGACCGTTCCCACAGACAGGTAGGCGGTAGAAGGCAGGAGGGCTATAATTAGCAGATGGGAGGAAGCCGCGGGGAGGAGATAGGTCAGGCGGATCAGGAGGAGGTGAAGGTCCAAGAGCTCTCGAGAGGGAAAGGAGTCCTGTCGGCTCGTCCTGATCCTATTAGCCAGCGATCCTTCCTCCTTCTTCGGCAAGGTCAAGGACACCACTACTGGAGGAGTACGTCCAAACAAACAATAATAAAAAGAACAATCCTCCAGGAAATGATTATCCTCATCAAAACACGTGGGTACTAATTCTGGCATCAAGGTCATAGGAGCAGACTTCGGAGATGGGAGGGGACCCCCAATACAAATGTTGAGGAGGCTAGAATATAGTTTAGCACTCTCCCCTCCTCCTCCCACAATAATTACAAGAAAAAAAATCTGGTGTGTCCAATCACACGACTTTCCTACCTATTTCAGAAAAGTTTTTAAATACCTTTAAATATGTCCATTTAGAAACAAAAATGAAATAGATTTATTTTCCTGTATATAAATAAAGCCATATCATTGTAGTCCGTGGTACAGATCACTTTTTATCAAATTATTAATATCCGCCTAAAATTTCGTAAATAGCTTCATCTGATTCTAACCTAAAAATATTTTATTTACGAAAATTCCCCGAATTGAGGTCTTTTCATTCTGGTGGTCGGCAAACATTGTCGATTTAATTTAGTACTTAAAACTAGCAAATAGTTTTCCACTTAAATCATAACATAACTTGAGCACAAAGTCGAGAAAAAGGTGACCTTCAAAAATATTGAGCCATTTGGCCTGACCTACACTACCAAATAGTCAAAATAACGACAACATACCGACATAACGATTCAATATCTTTGTAAGCTACCTTTTTTATCGATTTTGTGATCAAATTATCTTACGATGCAAGTGTAAAGCAAATGGATATTTCCGAGTTTTTAATACGTACTTAAATAGACAAAGTTTGCCGACCACCAGACTGAAAACGCCCCAATTCCGATAATTTTCGTAAATAAAATATTTGTAGATTACGATGAGATGAAGCTATTTAGGAAGTTTCTGCCGGATGTTATTAATTTGATAAAAAGAGGTGTGTACCTTGGGCTAATGTTTTATATAAATATAATTTCAAAATACGTCTCTTGAGAGAATAAATTCTTGATTCATGTTAATTACTCAAGAAGTTTTTAAACCTTAGTGATAAAATTTGAAATTATATATTTAATAAGTAGAGTTATAAATATATTTTTAAAGAAATTTTAACATAACTAGTCAGATTGTAAAAAAGTTTAATTTATTTTAATATTTAATAGTTTATCGTAGCATTAAAAAGAAAGGAGATGGTCCGGGGTGGCGGTCATAAATAGGCTAAATAGTGGCAAAACTATTTTATTAAAAACCGACGTTTCGACCCGACTTTGTAGGTCTTCTTCAGGGCTAGAACGGACATTATTTTATAATTTTTTGTTTAAATATTATGTAAATTCCACAAAATCGAATAAATCAAATTAAACTTTCTTTGTAGAAACGTGGATGGATTGATTACTCATGGTTTCAAACGTCATTGTCCTCTCCTTATAATATATTATTAACATTCCCACATCAATATTTATAATATTTTTTTATTTTTAAATTACACATAGGACAATAATAAATATTCAAATATTGGTATTGTTTACTTCAAACCGATTTACCCAAGTCCTTGTAGAGAAGGATGACCCAAATGATAATGACGGGGTCGAAGGCCTCCCGCAATATATGTATATATTTATCTCTACTGTCTTAGAACTAACTTGTGGACAGTCTGAGAAAGTGCCTTGCCATATGTGGATTTATATTAAAGCATTATTCATATAGTACATAGTATTTTTAACTTGACCTGAGGAATATTTTACACTATGAGGAATATTAATGCTTCATGGAGTGCGGATGGTTTCATGAAACACGTTGTTTGTTATTACGATTAAGTTGAAATGATTGCAACAAGTCATTATCAAAACTTATCGTTGTGATAAAAATGTGAAGGGGACGAGATAATGAATAGGAATCCCCTGGACAAGGGAGAGGGGGAGGATGTGATTGCGCAATCAAAGCAGGGAGGAAGAGCGTGAAAGAGTTACGAATATTAATAATAAACTTATTTTAATAGAAAAATCCAATTTATTTATAATAATGTAAAGAAATTAATATATAAGGCCCTGGTATAGAGCGTAATGTTCTATAGTTCGGAAACGTGGCCGCTCGAGAAATCACAGAGCAGAAGATATCTTGCTGTGTAGATGGATTCTTTGTAGAGGTCGGCTAAAGTCTCAAGGGCGCAATGAATCAAGAACGAGACCATTAGAGAAAGGATGGAAGTTAAGTATAACATACTGGAAATAACGGAAGAAAGAAGATTACAGTGGCATGGGCATATGGAAAGGATGAATACTGAACGACTTCTCGAAACGGCATTTGGGTAGGAGGCCGAGGGTAGCAGAAGGAAGCGTTGGGCAGGGTGAAGTGGAAGAATATATCAACTAATATTAAAATACGAAAGAGTGCCGTATTTAAAGATTCCATATTGATTATTCTTAATTTAAAAAAAAAAAAAAACCAATGCATAATGAACATGCATTTCACTACTAATAGTGCAAAAAGTCGTACGTAAAAACTAATTATTTCTTTATGCTTTATTGTTATAATTCCATATTTTATTGTCCTCTGCTATTTTCCATAGTACCAGACTGCTTATATCAGTTGCAGACTACAAAATGTCACCTTTAGCACAAATAGAATAAAAGTTGAAAATTTTGACGTACGACCTTTTGCACTAATAGTAGTGATATATACCCAATAGGTACGTTTTCAGTTCGTAAAATGGATGGAACTAGAAAATCCATAGGAAAATTTTAACTTTTTGTTCGGAGTTAACGAAACCAATAATTTTCTTCAGTCAGAACAAAACTAATTAAGCTTGAATATAAAAATATGGGTTCACACAGAATAGTTCACACAACTTCGATATTTAAGGAGGAAATCGAGACCAAGATGAACTTCAATGGAAATGAACACAATCACAAATAAGACTTTTTTTTTACGAATTCAGAATAAAAATCACTTCAAATTTACTGAAAATTATACGAAATCTAAGTAGCGGCAGTAAGTGTCATGCCAGTAACGTTTGGAATCGATCAAACAACACAGTATCAATTAATTATTTTAATAAAAATTCGTAACCCCATAACAATATTGTAATAAGCAGTTGACAGGATTCAATCAAATTGACCCTACATTATTTTTTCACAAATTTTATATCCAACTTCGAGCCAAATCGAACAAGCAGTTTCTGAAATATTTTCATGTCCACAAAAATGCGTTCGCGCGAGGGTAAGTGGAAGTGCTGATTAGAATTTAATAAAATTGATAAGGGACCATCTAGACACCAACCCGCACAATATCGTGTGATCTTAAACACATACCGAGATATTTTTTTTCATATTACATTTGTTTGAATTCTTTTAATATTTCACTGTGTTCAACCAATAAGGCTGTAACCAGAGATAGATCTCATAAGAACGAAAGTTTTATTAATAAGGTAATAACGTTGAGATAAGACAAAATCCTTTAGAAAGTCATGAATATTTTAGTAATGTTATGAAAAATTATACTAATATAAAAAATATGTATTTGGATGGCTTCGTGAGATGTCTACAGCAATATTTTCTTTTATTTCTTCCTGGATATAAGTGATATTGGTTTTTCTGTCCGGATGATGCTTAAATTTGCGAAACGCAATTTAACTATTCACCTGTATGTTGGAGAGTCATGGCTTGGTAATTTGGATTTTTCCATTAATAAAATAATAACTAAATATCACTTTTCTAGATTAGTGCTTATTGTAGTAATTAATGATAAAATAAAGAGATAAATCATTAACTATAAAATATATTGGATTAGGAATATCAGATTATAATGAAATGATCAATAGGAAGGATTGATCAATAGTCGATCCGGATAGAGGACAGAGATATGAATCATCCCTGAAATAAAAGGCTGCAGCATTAAACCGTTATCTCCGTCAGTCAGTTACTATTTTCCCTTAGTTTTGTTTCGAAACCAGATTAAAAGCGATTTATTTATTCATTAATCCTTACTTGAGAATATTTAATTAATAAACTTAAAATTGACTAATCTGATATTTTTTTTCTTAATTATTAATAATTTTCTAACCGAATTCAAGAGAGAATCTTATTTTCATGAAAGAGTGCCGCCTAATCATATTGGGCCACTAAATAGCCACAAACTTTATTAATCAGGACAATTTTTTATATAGATATATATATATATAAAATAATAATAAAAAAAATATATAAATATATTAACATATAACATTTCAATATATATAAGAACAGTAAACATACATTTTTCATGCATTTTTTTTTATTTTTTTTTTTTTTATAAAAATTTAATTTCTCTTTCCATCCCTTTTCTCTCTCTCTCTCTCTCTTTTCTCCCTTTATACATAATAATACAATTTTTATATGCAAATATATAGTAAACATGTTCAATAAATGATTTAAAAAAATGACCGGTGTAAAATAAATAAATTGAGACTCTTCCACCACAGTGCACTTATCCAAATTTTCAACCATCTAACTCCATTTGCGATGACTTGAGTAAATCTTGAAAACGTTGGAGATATTGGCGGAACTTCGACTCAAACTTAACTTTTATAATAGTATGAAAATAGTCGAGATTAATTATAATTTAAAAAGTTTATTGAATTTCTGATCTCCTCTTCCTTGTTTTTTAGGTTAAATGGGTTTTTTTCCCGGGCCGAGGGAGAGGACGGGGGGATTATGCTGAGTTAAAAGTCCCACCTGAATTGGGATTTGGACTCGTAATTATTCCATATCAGACTTCGGATTATCTGCTTTTCGGATAACGCACGGTGATGTGCACATAGCCCGCTCGGCCACCGCGCCCCCACGCGGTGTGGAGTTATGGTCAATATAGGTAGACATACACTATTTGTTATAGTACTGGTACTGGTGGGGGGAACTAGTCCGACAAGTGGACTACATGGCTCCTGCTGCCATTTTTTTTTTATTTATTGAAACAAATAAATACATTTTGCTTCAATTAAGGCATTAGTATTTTATTTATTTATAAATGTTTTGGTTTCTTCAACCACCTGAATCATTTTCGCCCTATATTACCACTGGATCAACTACTACATAGGCATCCATGACAAATCTACAGCTAACAAATACAATTTAGAAAGTTAAAAATAGTTACAGGTGAATATGATATTACAATTGAAAGTTAAAAATTAAAAGGAGATAAGTTAACAAATACAATTAAAACAGAGGTTAATGATTTAAGAACAAAAGCTAAAAATACGTTTTTAAAAAATAATAATTAATATTAATTTTATTTGTTTATTTAGAAATATTACATTCTGTCACATCAAGGACATTTATAATAGTGATCAGAGAAAGCACACTCACACTCTATTTACAATAATAAAAAAAAAAAATAATACAGAAACTTAATAATAATAAATACAATAAAATAAAATAAAAATAAATACAATAAAATAAAATAAATGATTAATATTAATAGAAGAGAAGTTAAAAAGTACAGTTTAAATATTAAAAGATACAAGAAGAAAAGTCGACAAAACCCATTAAAATTAGATATAAAGATTAATAGAAGAAAAATTAACAGGTATTTTTACAATTTGAAGGGGAACCTACAAACTTAAAGGGTATATTTACAATTACAAGATGTGATTAAATTTTGTGAAATATTTTGATTTCCTTAAGGAACAATAATAAGTTTTTAATAGTTGGTCTTTTTGGAGTGATTCTTCAAGGCTATTTCTGGAAAGAGTTGATCCCTAAGAGATTGGAATCCATAGCATTCGGTTAGGATATGGTTCACTGTAAGATGTACCCCGCAGGAAATACATTGAGTAAGAGAGTCTTTCCTCATTAAATACTCGTACGTAAGCTTAGTATTTCCGATCCTTAGCCGGGCTCAGTACCACTTCTTTTCTTCTGGTCAGCAGGATATTTGGAGTGACTCTACGGACGTATGGCTCCACAACCCTTAGTTTATTGTCTCTTGTGGCAGACCAAGTTCTTTGCCAAGCTTAATTTGAGATGCCATTAGTATTTGAGATGAAGAGACTCATTCATAACATATATACATTATCAAAAAACAATAGGAAAATTATAACAAAAGAAAAGAAAAAGAAAACTTTGTAAAACAGAAGAAAGAAAACATGAGAGAAACATTAAATAAAAATATAAAAACATATTCATACTTATTTACAATATTTACAGTCAACCTAGGGAGCTCTAAGTCCAGAACTTTTCCCCACGTATGGAGAACAATCTTTTTTTTTTGTCAACTTAAGAACGTTGTCTTAACTGTGAAAATTGACCATTTGACAATTCCATGTAAACAAAATCACTTCTTCTTTAAAAGTTAAAAAATAGATATTACTTTTATACGTCCTTACTAGAGGAATGTCCCCTAAAGCATCATACCCAATGAAAGTAAAAAAAAAAAATATAAACCTTAGAAAAAAATCTTGTATAAAGCGAAATTATACTATTCTGGAAGCATTGAACATATATCAAAGCAGCAAATATAAGCACATAAGCAAAGTTATTGTGGGAATACTGACTGCTAATGAGCTAATCGTATCGCAAGGCTGTGCAGTGTTAGGAAACATTGCCAACGGTCCATTTGTCAATCAATTGAATTGGAAGGAAACACAAAACGAACTGGATCAAACATTCTAAAGATAGAACCCAAGAGAATGTCAGTTT